TTGAAATGATACAAATGTTTTCTACCCCCCACTATTTGAGAGCCAGGTTGAGTGGTGTGGTGGCCTAGTGGTGAAGATGCTCGTCTGTCACTCAGAAGGTTGAGAGTTCAATCCTAGGTAGTGGCAGATGTTTCTCTCCCAGGGCGCAAAGAAAAAAAATACCTGCTGCAAACTTTGGAGGGCATCAGGAAGGGCATCCACCCAGTAAACGCTCAGCTCCATCCAGTTGCCTGGACTCTACCCCAAATTGATTTCAGGGTCATAAAAAGGGAGTTTTAAAAAGGTTGGTATAATGGTTAAGGCATTGCAGTAGGAGGGCAACTCTGCTTCAGGTCTGGAAATCACTCTTTCTCAGCCCTGGTAATAAGATTATGACAAACCACTTGTGAAAATGTTGAAAATTTAATGAGCTTGTTGGGAGTGAGGACTAACTGAAAGGCACATAGACACACTCCAATAGATCTATTGGCAGCAGCCCATGTACCTGTACACTAGCTAAGTAGTATAACATTGTGAGGTTTCTTTTATTTAGAAGTGCTTAAATAGAAGACTAAATGTATATGCTACAAGATACATTTGCTTAGAAATTTTTTATACTCGAAATACCTGCAGTTATTCTTGCTGCATAAGCAGTCAGTGATTGCCTAGAACAGGGGTCTTCAAACTTGGCCCTTTTATGACTTGTGGACTTCAGTTCCCAGAATTCCTCAGCCAGGCACACTGGCTGAGGAATTCTGGGAGTTGAAGTCCACAAGTCATAAAAAGGCCAAGTTTGAAGACCCCTGTCCTAGAACTTCTTAACTGTACTAATCAGCATTTGGCCAGGGCTAAGTCTTTGATTATGTATTAGTTCGATCCTTTGACACAGAAATGGGCAAATTGGACCCTCAATGACATATATCACAGTATCTAATGTGAGGCATATGAAGTCAGCTAGTTTGAAGGTGCTAATCCTGCAGCCCTGAATGTGTCATGAAATCATCTCCTTTGAAAAGATGGAATTGTAGCTGAGAGTAAATTTACACAAAGTTGCATTGCAAGCTTTGGAAATAAAAGCTCCATTGTACAAATTATTGAAAGGCATTTGGCATGAAGCCACTGCGATTCTTAACTGCTACGTTTGTACCTACTTTCAGGTGTGCAGCAAAAATACCTGGTAGTCACCTGCAATTATGAAGCCAGGAATCTTGGTGTAAAAAAACTCATGGGTGTGAAAGAAGCAAAAGAAAAGTGTCCGGATCTGGTGCTGGTTAATGGAGAGGATCTGACCAAATACAGGGAAATCTCTTACAGAGTTACAGGTACTGCTTTGATTTTATCCTTGTAACACTGGAAAATGTTTCTTCAGTGGATTTGGTTGCAATATGTTCCCTGCCTAGAGGAGGGGTAGGTAACCTTGGCTCTTTTATGACTCATGGACTTCAACTCCCAGAATTCCTGAGCCAGCATAGCATAGCTGGCTCAGGAATTCTGGGAATTGAAGTCCATGAGTCATAAAAGAGCCAAGGTTGCCTACCCCTGGCCTAGAGACTGTAAGTAGTCTCTAGTAGTAACTTGTAATAACTTACAACCACAATTGTGTCTAGAAACTCGGTCATTAAGCGATGTGGTTGTTAAGTAAGTCATTACCCAATCATGCTTGATTTTATAAACTTTTGTGCCATGGTCATTAAGCGAATCCGCCTTTGCCCACTAACTTTGCTTGTCAGAAGTCAGCTGGGAAGATCACATATGACAATCACTTGACTCCAGAGACTCTTGACTCCAATACTGCAACTATTGTAAATACATGCCAGTTGCCAAGCACCCAACTTGTGATCACATGACCTTGGGGAATGCTGTGATAGTCATAAGTGTGAGGATTGATCATAAGTCATTTTTTTTAGTGCCGTTGTAACTTCAAACAGTCACTAAGTTAATGGTTATAAGCCAACCTGTATTACTACCTCCTTCCTTATTTTGATCATACCTAGTGCTAACTCATAAAGCATGATTTATAAGCCACAATGGCTGGATGGACATCCCATATTAAATCCAAACCAAAAAAAATCCTCGTGCTATGGTTTAACCTATTTAAACCTAGCCATTAAGGATGTAAACCGTGAATTATAGTTTAACAAATCATGTGAATCCAGCCAAGTAAAGCTTATTTATATCATGATTTGGCAAACTCTGAATCAGCACATGTGAATCCAGTCTATGAATCTTGTGATCTTGTCCCTTCAAACATTTTTGTCAAATTTCTAGTAAGCTTGATGTTGCCATTCACGAGAGGTTTATCAACAAACAAGCAGATGTGGAAAGACTCCAGGGATTCCTTTTTATGCCCCCACTTCTGTTACGCTTTGTGTAATCAAGCCAGGAGACAGTAGTTGAGGATCTTCCTTAAGGAATTTACTCTGTAGGAATGATGTCATAGAACTCTGTTCTGAAGCATTGTCTCCTAGGTTCAACTGGGTTTCTCAGCAAAGAGCTATTATGTTCAGAGCAAGTTCTGCAGGTGGCCAACTTTGCAGGCATATTTCCTACCTTGTTTATTGTTGATTTCAGCAGTGCTTGTTCCTTTTAAACCCAGCACTGAAGCCCCATACTGTATCAGATTTGCTTAAACCAGAAATCAATTCGGTTTGGGGATCCTGTCTAAAATGATTCACTCAAGGCGGATGCCCATGAGATGTAAACTGAGGAAAGAGGCACAGGGTCATCTCACAATAGCACTTGTGTGAGGTCAAAAGAATCTTCTCATTCTCAAGCATCTCAACAATTTTGAGCGTTACTTCCTTGTGTTAGCTAATAGAGAGAGAGGGAGAGCATAAGAGAGAGGTGAAAATTATATCTCCAGCTTCCCAAAGTAAAAGTGAAATTGAGGATGACTCAACAAGAGGTTAAACATTACAAAATCATAAAACATGGTAAACCTGTATAGTGAGAGAGAACATTGGGCTTATCAAATGTTTGCTAGAACACATTGTTAAAGTAAAACAGAACTGAAGAAAAGTTTCTAAAGCGGATCTCTGAAGGCGAAGAAGTTCTGTAATCACCATTAGACGGGGAATTGGATAAAATTGAAAAGGCTAGTACATCCTCTCGACTATATTTGCACATCGGGCTGGCCCATGTTTAACTTATCCATAATTTGTTCAACTCAGTTTTCTGGATTTGCACAATACTGATAGTCCTCGACTTACGAACTCAATTGAGCCCAACATTTCTGTTGCTAAGAGAGATTTGTTAGGTGACTTTTGCCCCATGATAAGGCCTCTTTTGCCACAGCTGTTAAGTGAATCACTGCAGTTGTTAAGTTAGTAACACGGTTGTTAAGTGAATCTGCTTCCCCATTGACTTTTGCTTGTCAGAAAGTCACAAAAGGTGATCCCATGACCCTGGGACACTGCAACCGTCATCAAAATGAGTCAGTTGTCAAGCGTCTGAATGTAAATCATGTGAGCATCTGCAATGGTCATAAGTGTAAAAAATGGCCACAAGTCACTTTTTTAAGTCCTGTTGTAATTTTGAACAGTCACTTAATGAACTGTTGTAAGTTGAAGACTATCTGTACTGGAAGTATAAACTAACTATTCAAGTTTTAAAAATCAATACTAAATTAAAATATGTCCATCTAGTTTGTGGCCCATGTTTTTTAGTGTGTGTGATTAAGGTAAGATCTATCTACAAATATTGACAGCAACCTGATGGCACACAATCATTGTTTTGTAAACCAAGCCATTGTATTAAGTCAAGTTTTTCAAGTCACAAGGACTAGATTTACACATCAGGCTAATTCACAAACCGATTACTGATTTGAAAACAGCACCTACCTAGAATCTTTTTAGGTAGAAGTGGTCTATACATAGTATACATTAATAAAGTTACGTGCTATGACTTCTGAATGGGGGAGAGGAGACTTTAATGCAGATCTCCTGAAACTGTCCAAAACAAGGCTGCCATCTTCAGAAACCATCTTTTAGTTATTCTCCAGGATGTTCTTTATAACGGGTCTGCAACCTTGACAACTTTAAGACTTGTGGACTTCAGCATAGCTGGCTGAGGAATTCTGGGAGCTGAAGTCCACAAGTCTTAAAGTTGTCAAGGTTGCAGACCCATGCTTTATAATGTTGGTCTGTGTCTCATATGATTAGATCTATAGAGTTTGACCTCCCAGGCACTAGGATTCATTTATCTGATTGTATCTTTATGTGTGAACCATGCTAATGCTCACTAACCACTGTTGAGCCTAATATAATCACATTTCCAGTTTAAAATTTTTGAAATCAGATCTGAGCAATAATAATATTTTCTGTAGACCTGGGCAAGGAAGACATTGTCAATTGATTTGCCTCAATGGGATGCTAGAGGGTCCCAGTTCTTAAAGAGCCAACATCTAATCCAGTCTTTCCAATAGATGCCTCTAGCAAGCATCTAAGCATCTTTTGGCTCCTGAATATTGGACAAGCCCTGAATCAAAACAAACCAATGTAACAGATTTGCATTAAAAAAAAAAAAAGCAGATGGGAAGCGTTAGTTTGCAAAATTCCACACAAGCCATTATTGTAGCAATAATGCTAAAATCCCTTCAAAGTTTTGCACAGCCCTCCTTTTAAAGACTAGAAGAGTGTGGTATTAAAGCATACAAAGATGATCCTGTCGTCTGTATGTAACACAGGTAGGCTTCGACCTACAGCCACAATTGAGCTCCAAATTTCTGTTGTTATCTGAGACATTTGTGAGCTTTCCCCCATTTTATGACCTTTCTTGCCTCAGTTGTTAAGTGAGTCTGGCTTCCCCGTTGACTTTGCTTGTTCAGAAGGTCGCAAAAGGGAATTACGTGATCTTGGGACACTGCAACAATCATAAATAGGAACCAGTTGCCAAGCATCTGAATTTTGATCCCATGATCATGGGAATGCTGCAAAGGTCGGAACTGAAAAACCGTCATAAATCACTTTTTTAATTGCCATTGTAACTTTGAATGGTCACTAAACAAACTGTTGTTAGTCAAGGACTACCTGTACATTTAGTTAATCATGCCTCCTAAATATGCGTATGGATCAGTACATTAAAGATTTGCATGGAACAACTAGACACAAGGACAGTGTTTTCCCCTGTGCCATCATTCTGCTAAACAACTAATTCTTACAACACTGTCAAACTACTTAGTAAGGCTGTATTACTATTATTCTCCTCATCTTTCCTATCTCCTTATCTTCTTATGACTATAACTTTGTTGCTTGTATCTTACAATTCATATTGTCTTTTTAGTATCCTAGTATGAATTATGTTGTTTGCTTATTTAGTATCCTACGACTATTACTAAGTGTTGTATCTTTTGGTTTATGACGAATGCATTTTTATGTTGATTATGATCATGATATATCACTGTTGCTTGTATGTACACTGAGAGCTTATGCACCGGAGACAAATTCCTTGGGTGTCCTACCACATGGCCAGTAAAATAAAGAATTCTAATACTTTGTACAATGCTAAACTAGAATATAGTTTGCTTGGATGAGAGTTCGGCATTTATGTGAATTCATCTACTTCAGTTTGTAACCAGTAGCCCGTGTTGTGTGAATTCAGTCTATTGTGGCCCTTAATAACCTTTATTTATTAACGTGTGGGGGGTTTATATATTTAATAACTTGGTTGCATAATTTCCATATTTAATTGGAAGAATAATATGGACATTTTCTATATTTAAAAGGTTAGCCCTGTTCACCCAGTACTACATATTAACAATTATATTCTTTTTTTAACATTTACAGAATTGTTAAAAACATTTACGCCACTGGTGGAAAGGCTCGGATTTGATGAAAATTTTGTGGACATCACTGAATTAGTAGAAAAGAGACTGATAGAGTGGAAAAAAGCAACACTTCCTAAAATCTCTGTTTCTGGTCATGTATATAATAATCAGAGTAAGTCCTTTTTGTTTTTAACCACAATGTCATATTTGCACTCCAGTTCCCATAATAATGCTATGTTGACAACACAAAGGACATCTGTAGCACAGAATAACATTCGAGCTTGACATACAAATATACAGGTAGTCCTTGACTTACAACTCTAGTCCCTAAAGTGATCCAAAAGTGAACTTCATAGAAGTTGTAAGGGACCTTGGTGGTCATCTAGTCCAACTCCCTGCTTGAGCAGGAGAATCTATACCATTCAGACAAATGGCTGTCCAATCTCTTCTTGAAATCCTCCAATGATGGGGCACCCACAACTTCTGAAGGCCCAGAAGTAACATAGAATGGTTGTTACTTCACTTAAGAGAAACTTTCCTTAACTTTCCTTAAGGCTCCGTATCATAAATAAATAAAAGGCAAAATGTTAGCCCTGCTTTTAACAGCCCTGGAAAACAATACCTATCCATTTCTATTTCATAATGCATTTGGATAGCCCTTGATTAGTACAGGTAGTCCTTGACTTACGACCACAATTGAGCCCAAATTTTATGTTGCTAAGTGAGAAATGTGCTAAGTGAGTTTTGCCCCATTTTACAACTTTTCTTGCCACATTTGTTAAGTGAATCACTGCAGTTGTTAAGTTAGCAGCATGGTTGTTAAGTAAATCTGGCTTTGCTTGTCAGAAGGTCACAAAAGGGGATCACGTGGCTTTGGGACACAGCAACCGTCATAAGTATGAAACAGTTGCCAAGCATATGAATGTAAATTACATTACAATGGAGATGCTGCGACGGTCATAAGTGTGAAAAATGGTCTTACGTCATTTTTTTCAGTGTCGTCGTAACTTTGAACAGTCACTAAATGAACTGTTGTAAGTCAAGGACTACCTGTATTTGTAAGCATGCCACTTGTATTGTCCATTTCCCATAGTTGGTATCCTGGCAAAGCAAAAGGTTTTTCTTTAACAGGCAGTGTCTTGGGGGGGGGGCTCCATAAGAAGGATAAATCTGTCAGGTGATCTCTTGAGAATTTTTTTTTTTTTTTGTCTCTTTCCTTCACAGCTGTTGATTTTCAGGATCCAGTGCACGTAAGTCTCGCTGTGGGATCTCAGATTGCAGAGGAGATGAGAGATGCCATGTGCAGCAGGCTAGGGCTCACGGGCTGTGCAGGGGTGGCCACAAATAAGGTCCTCTCCAAGCTGGTCTCTGGGACCTTTAAACCAAATCAGCAGACAGTTCTTTTGCCTGAGAACCGGCCGAACCTGATGGCCAGCCTGGATCACGTAAGGAAAATACCAGGTAAGTTGATTTTGAGGATTTTTTTTTTGCAATTTTAATTTTTATTTAACATATATAAAATACAAAGAAAAATAGAAACAGGAAATTAAGGGACGGAAAAGGAGAGGGGAAGAGAAGGTGTGAGGTACAAGGGAAAAAGGAAAAAGTGCTTTAGCACAATGCAAGATAAAAACATTCCAGCCTCAACTTTTTGTTTTTACACATTAATATATAGCTAGCCATTTCTATAATAAATCTATCTAATTGACAAAACCAAAGTCAAAGTTTCATTTTTTTTCCATCACAAGCACAAAATCCAGAAGTGTTATCCAAATGAAAAACATACTCAAATATATTCTC